TGTTTCCAAAGGAAGCATTTATTGGGTAGGGACTTAGTAACATATTGTTTTTTAGTTTTAGTCTTTCCTATCTTTCTAATTACAAAGTCAAACAAGTGAAAAAACAATATGCTCCATGCTAATTCATCTTGCTCAATTTTCCTATTTTCAGTTAGGGTTTTTGACTAAGATTCATTAATTGCTTTAACACATTTTAATTGCATTAAAAGAGCTTTCATCTTCTGGCTCTAAAGACTAAAATCTCCTTTACCATCCCAGTGCTAAATATCAATTTTAGTGGACATAATGTGCAAGTGTGTCACAATTGTGTTCAAAATGATACAGATAGGATTTAAACTCAACTGAACAGATCACCCAAGATACAATACACACAACAGAGGTATGTAATGAAATAGTTCACAATCAATAAACTATAATTAACAGAGTGATTCTTGCAGTAACTAATAAGGCACTTTCTAGCCAATCTTTATATTAAAAATATAAGCACAAAAATAGGTATCAATTGAGTAATAACTTCTGTAGATCGATTATTAGAATTATTAACCCAATGCTTAAGAATCGGGTTATGCAGTGAACAATAACATTGAATTGCAAGACAGTAAAGAGAGAACCCCTAATGGATTTTCTTCATTGTACCCTAATTTCCTCAGATTCTAGGGCTCTCTCAAGGAACCCTAGACAAAGGTAAATTAGAGGGGGTTTAGAGAAATCCCTAAAACTTAATCTTTTGAAAACAAAGAGTCAACAAGTATTAAATTAGGTTTAGCATAGACATCACTAGAACTACAGTTTGTGCTAAGAATATCCAAATAATACCTCAGATCTACTCAAGATTTAGATCGAAGGCACTTTCCTATACAACAACTGTAGATCTATTAGATTTTACGAGTTTCTAAAACATTGTAGTCACAAAATGACTGAAGAACAATTTTAAAACTTTAAATTTCACAAAAGATTAAACAATGGCTCTCGTACCATTGTAGGTCCCAAATAAAATGAACCCTTTTGTAACTCAACTAGATTTTAAGACAATATAAATCGTAAATGGCAAGAAAATAAAGAACATGAAGAGTTTTCGATCGAAGGCCCTGGAGGTTCAGCGACCAAATCCAACTCCTACATCCCTCGTTGAGCATCTATTAGGATTACGCTCAAATCCACTATCACAATCCCAAAAATGGGAAAATTCAAGCTACAAAAAGAATGCAAGTGTTCTATTGTTCAAAACCACAAAAGCCCTCAAAAAATTGCACTCCAATCTCACCAAGAGATGGATCTCATCACTTTCTTCCACTACTATAAAATTTCACACAGAAATTACAAGAAATTCATCTAGAAGATGAAGAGAGTACAGGAGAGGAAATGGCGGTCAACACAAGAGATTAGGGTTCGAAAAGTCTCTCAACCCTAGAGTTAACATTGCTATTTATAAGAGATAGGTCCAGTAAATGATCCAACAACTGTCCAAATGCCAAGTGTAAGAAATCAAGCATGGGATGCCTTTCAGAAGTAAAGTCGTGTTTCCAAACACGAGTTTTCAGCAATTCTGGAACCTTCATTTAAACGGCCAATCATTGGGCCGGGTTATCACTTAAATTACAGATCAACAACTAGGCTCAAGAATTTCAGCAACCCAAGCCTTTAATCTCTTAATCAACTTACAGCATATCATGTTTTGATTGGGAGCTTGGAAATGGAATTCTTTATGGACATGACTGAAAAGTACAGTATAGTACAACTAGAGCCAAGCCTCTAAAGGTCATTCCTACTTGGCGAATGAGTAAATGATACATTGTTGGTATCAATTGATGAATTGATCTATAATTTTATCTGCATAAAGCTTCAATTGTTTCTACTGCAGGAAGCCGAAATGTTACAAAAAACATGTAATAATTTATAATAGATTTCTTTCATGCCAAGTTATATTAATTATCTTATGTAATTTTCCTCACGGGTATTTGTTGGGAAAATTTTGTGGCGACATGTTTGCCAATTAAATTATGCTAATTATCACTTGATTGATTTTCTTAATTTCATGATTTTTTTTTGGTTTTTCTTAGACTATGTGTGTTGATGTAATCATATTTAGATGGATGAAGTGTTGAAAATTGCATTTAAATTAGGTACATTCACGTGCACCTTTGTTTTAGTAATGTTCACACGCATGTTCAAATGCACTGGCAAGTAGGACTTGAGATTCTTGAATTTTATATATATATCACATATTCTTTTGAAATCCAAATGTGATAAAATTGAAGGAAATAATATTTGCACTCAATACTTCTAAAATATTTTAAAATCATTTCTTCTCCTTTAATAATATGGCTTGCAAGTCTCATATTCATTATTGCACTACTCAAATATTTTCAAGATTCTTTAAGATGTTCCGAGATAAAATTGGAAAATAAATTTGTTTAATTTGGATGTTTACTCGTTTGTTCGAACAAACGCGTGAACGAGATCTTGAATCTGTGAAATCATTTTTTGTTTCTCCTATTTAATTATGGAATCTAATTTTCATATATTGTTATTGAAAGAGAAAATAAAACGTATGAGTATTTCGGCTGTCTTTGAAAAATATCGACTTAAAATTGAAGATTATATTTGTGGTGAGGTATCTTTTTAGATTAATGATTCTTGATCTTTAATTAGTGTAGGAAAAGCTACATAATCCTTCACTCCTTGGGGGGGATTAGAAGAAGTCTCTCACGTTTCTAACGAGGAGAGATGTTTGCTAATGCTTGGTTGAAGAAAAAACTACTTGGCTTCTTGTTTCTTCAATTTTGCATTGAAGATCATCATTCTCAAAGAGCAAAATGAATCTATACATAGAGAAGGAATTTCAACGTAAAATAAGGATGTGGTTCTTATTTCATTGAAAAGGCCAAAAAACTTTGGCTAGTTAGTACTTTTAGATAGGCAAAATTCATAGTATCCACAACAACTATATTGCCAATCTAATTCAATTAAAAAGATAAAAGAATATTAAACTCAATTAAGTAGTATTTATGTAAGGTTGGTCATAAAATGTAAAAACATTGGTCATAGCCCAGTATTTTGCCTCTGTATGGATTGACACTATTGCAAAATGGACAACTTTATTATTTTTTGGCTCTTTTAAGAAATAAGAGAATTTTAAAGGAAGGCACGGTTCAACGCTAGAAAAGATCGACAAGACAATATATTATCTAATGTTGTCTAACGTAAAATATTTACTAACTTGATTCGAAAATCTAATTTGAAAATCGAAAAATAAAAATGAAAAATGATTTGATTTTTCTTGATTATTCATTATCGTTTACCATGTGACCCTAGTTTGCAGTGTCCATGGGTCCATACTGTCACCAACCATAGAAGTCATAAAGCCTTGGGTCATTTCCATTTTTGCCGATGGTTTTGAATATATAAAATGAAAATATACATATGTGAATCTACCTATCCATATACACTTCGGGTGGCAAAATGGATCGAGCAATTGCAAAATCATGTGATTAATTTGTTTGGCTCAATTCATAAGTGATTAGAAATTGTTTTGAGATGAGTTATGAGTTCAATTGGGTAAATTTTATTTTTCAAAAGCCGACTTGTCTTGAACTTATCTTGTTTTATTAATTTCTATATAAAAAATGAGTTGAGTTATGGATTTGTCCATGACTCGGATTGGCCTATGAGGTCAACGAGTGAAAGGACCAATGCGAACGTAATTTGAGTGAGAATATATTTTTGTTTCTTTCTTAGCTTTGCAACGAGTATACAATTTGGGATCATGCTACATGTAAAAACCCTTTTTACAATCTCCCTTACTCACTTTTCACAATGGGGGTGGGGACCACGAGCCAACATTTTTTAAATTCACGTGGGCTCTGCTAATATTGTGAGAGTGAGTACACCATTTTGCCAACAAAATTTTGTTCAAATATTTTTATCCTATAATTTTTGTATTTTTATTTGTCCTGTTTGTCTGGTTTGAATGTTGAAATAGTTTACTTCATGATGCAGCTTATCGTTATACGATTTTCCTGTACTACATTTATAGCTATTGAAAAAGATATCTGGCAAACAGTTATTGAAAGATGTATCCCCTGTAGAACAATTTCGTTAGTCATTGGAACTGGCAAGTCATGATTTTGGAGTATAACTGAAGTGTTTATGTTGTGTTCTTTTTCTATTTTTAGATATTGATAAAGTCCTTCTCAAAGGGTTAGAGATGTTATGTTTGATACTGTTCTTTTATGTGTCTCAAAGTACTTTTTGTGTAAGTTAGATAGTTCTAGGACTTCATGAATTGTATCGAACAGCTTCCATCATTCTTATAGTATCTCATGTTTGAGTCTAAATGAACAGATATGTAGCAAATATAAGTAAAGATATCAAATCAGGAGAATCAGACTGTCTCAGGGTTGTATAATTGCAATTAAACCCTTTTGACCTATTTAATCCCTTTTGTAAAAATATGGGTGATTTTTCTTGACGTTCTCCTTCATATATGGTCTTTCCCAATCTGAGCAATATGCCTTTCTCGACCATAATTTGTTACGACATAATTCAGTGGATGTAATAATATTTGAAACAAACATGCATTTAAGAAGTACTACTGGATTACTGCATAATGGAACCAACTAGAAAGTTCCATTCCTTATCTAGTTTAGCTTACTAATTCTTTGAAGACTGTACTCTACAAATGCAGGAAAGTCGCTCAACTCTAACATTTGTTTCTTATCTATTGTTTGTATAGAGGCTTGGCATATTTTATGTTTCAACATGGCTGTGAAGTGTCAATAAAGGAGCTAGATACCCTGTTGTCTCTTTTGATCAAGAAAAATGGATCAGGAAGAGGCAAGGCAGAGGCAGAGGCGGAGGCAGAGAGAAAGGTGCAAATTCTGCTAGACTTCTTACACAGCTTCAGGGAAAAATGTTAATGAGCTCAACAAGGTTAGTAATAATATCAATGAAAGAGATCATGATACAGGGGCGGATTTAGAGCTGCAGCCCACTGTTGACCAGGCCCAGATAGTTAAAAAAAAAAAAATTTTTGTGTGAATTGTAGTCCAATAGCCCATATGTAACCACATTAGCCCACCAACAATTTAATTCAGTGGGCTAGTCCACCTAAAAATTTTTTTGTGTTTTAATCTTTAGTCCACTAATTTAACCCAAACCCACTTAAATGTATCAATTGATAAAATCAATTTAACTCATTTCTTTCCATTTCCTTACCAGTTACCACGTGAACTTTCTATTTAATCACTTTTCATTATAATGGTTGCACAAAATATCCAAATCCAATATCATCCCTCTGGTCTAACCCATTCCCAAATCCAAATTTGAAACCATCTGCGACTTGGATTCTCATTTCTCTCTCTAGTCCCTGAGTCTCTCGCCTCGAGCTCTCGACGCCTTCTATCGGTGATTCAGCAGAAGAAGAAGGTGAAGAAGCCAGAAGGTCTCTCGTTTCTCGGCCTCTTTCTCAAGGTCTCTCGCCTTCACTGCCTTGTGCCTTCAGTTACTTTTAAGGGCAAGTACGGAGTGTTCTTTTCTTTTTATTTGTTATTTTGATTTGTTTAATGTTTGAATATTGTGGTTTTGCTTTTAATCGAGTGCGTGCCAGATGCTTGTTATTATGTGTGTTTGAGTAATTTGAATGTATTATGTAATAATGCTGCTTTCTATTAACTTGTTAGTGTAGACTTGCAGACTTGCAGTTGAGGGTAGATAGAATTGAGAGTAGATTTTGCTTAATTTTACTTGAACAGCATAGAAGGCAGAAGAAAAGTCATATACTATTAGGAAAAGATTATCAAAATTGTGATGTTGCTGAAACTTACATGGCGCAGAAATATATCATATATGACCGGTAAAAATCAGCTTATAAATGAACACATTATCAATATCATGTTACAACTGATTTCCCTAATTTATGAACTTTATCTTGTTAGCATCTTCGGTATCTTTTGATCTTTGAGAGGAGATGAATAAACTGCCCTTTTTCCATCATATGTCTTACAATTTCATGAACTTCAGACAGCTTTCCTGCATGCCGTAAATAACTAACTTGCAGACTTTCTATTAACTTATTTTTGATTTATATGACATTCTTAAAAGTAAAACTATTGTTTATTTTTGTATAATACTGGGTGAAGCACTAGAGCATTTTCATAGGCATTATGATACTATTTTCATAGTTTTTTTTTTTTGATTTTTTTGTTTAATTGTAGGTGATGCTTTTGATTTTTTGAAGTATTGTGCTATTTGCTAAGAAAAGGGTACAAAGGCTAAAAGGGTTAAGGAGGTTCAACTTTTCAAGGTTGGTTCTCATTTCTCAATCTCTGACTTTGGATGAAAAATCTCATTTCATAGGTTATAGGAAATAGTAAATTGGTTTTATATGGTTATGGTTTTATCAATTTAAGTTTATGCCTTTATGTGATATTGAAGTATCTTGTTTTTTATGCTTTTAGATTTAATATGGAAGAAGATCGACCTTCTAACAAGAAAGGAAGAACTTTGTTGTCTTTTTTTTCAAAAAGTAATAAATCTCAAGATTCTCCAATTCCTACGGCGCCCATTCCTCCAATTTCATCCCCAGAAGTTGTACGGCCTTCATCTTCCAATCTTAATGTAGAACCATCTGATTCTATTGAACGGGACCCTGGAAAAAGAAAACAAATATGTGAACATCCACGTAACGAACGCGATCAGATTAGGCGAGCTTATCTAAATGTTGGACCTTATCAACCAAAACTTTTGGAGTATCAGAGCAAAGAATGTGGAAAGCAGAAACGTCGATTTCAGGAACGTTGGTACAATCAGTTTCCTTGGTTGGAATATTCGCCTTCAACACATAAGGCATATTGTTTTTATTGTTTCCTCTTTCTCAATGAGAGTACTCCACCTAATATTTCATCGTTGGTGATGGTGCTAATAATATGCGTGGTTCTTGGAATGGACTACAGGCATTATTTCTTAAAGATTGTCCATATGCATACTATGTCCATTGTTTTGCCCACCGTTTACAACTCACATTGATTTCTGCAGCTAGGGATGTCTCAGATATTAATTCATTTTTTTCTCATTTGGATAGTGTTATTAATATGATTACATCATCTCCTAAGCGCATCAATGAGTTGAAAAGTGCCCAAATAAAAGAAATTGAGCATTTGTTGGAAATTGGAGAACGAGAGTCCGGAAGTGGTGCTAATCAGATTGGTAATTTGCAACGAGCCGGAGGTACTCGTTGGTCTTCTCATTACAGCTCTGTAAAGAGTTTGATTGATATGTATGCTGCAACTTGCAAGGTGCTTGAGTATCTTAGTGATCATTCTCCAAATGTAAGATCTCGGTCCGAAGTTGGTGGTGTGTACAAAACCATGACAACATTTGAATTTGTATTTATTTTACATTTAATGCGTAAAATATTAGCAATTGCGGATGTGCTTTGTCAGACCCTTCAGAAGCAAACTCAAGATATCTTGACTGCTATGAGATTTTTCCGTACTACAAAAACTATCCTTCAAACATTGAGAGAAGATGGTTGGGAAGAATTTCTTGAAGAGGTGAAATGTTTTTGCTCAAAAAATGATATACATGTACCTGACTTTGATGCTTCGTATATGGTTGGTCGTTCTCGTGGTCGTGAGTATCCTACCGTTGAACATCACTATCACTTTGATATTTTCAATGCAGCCATTGATTTTCTGATGATGGAGTTAGATACAAGATTTAATGAGACATCATTAGAACTCCTTTCTCTCAGTGCAGCTTTGGATCCAAAAGATTCTTTTGAATCATTTAACATTGATAATATTTGCAAGCTTGCAGAGAAGTTTTATCCTGAAGATTTTTCACAGCAAGATATTTATTGTTTGAAAGTTGAGTTGCAACATTATCAGAATGATGTGATTTCCGAACCTCGATTTCAAGTACCTACACTTTCTGATTTATGTCGAGAATTGGTTGCAAGTAGAAGGTCGGAGAGTTACGTCGTTTTGACTAAATTGATTTGTTTAGTACTCACACTACCTGTTTCAACGGCGACTGTGGAGCGAGCATTTTCAGCAATGAAACATGTGAAGACGGAAATTCGTAACAAAATGGATGATGGCTTTCTTGCTGATTGTTTAACACTAAATATTGAGCGAGAATTTAGTATGAATTTAGATCTAGATTCTATTGTAGATGAATTTTATGCTTTAAAACATCGTAGGGTACAACTACGATAGGTAACTTATATTATGAATTTTTCTTATTATATATAAATTTTATTTGTAGTTCGTACATTAAATTTTTAAAAATTTTTGCCCCCCGTACCATGAATTCCTGGCTCCGCCCCTGCATGATATCGAATTATGATCACTTGATTATGACATAGTTGTTTGACATTTATATATGGTAATGCTTGCAATTTCTTTTTTCTCTAAACTTATTTGTTTGGGGGTTACTTGAGAGTAAAACTTTATGAACCTCCTGTGTTTTATTGTGGTTTTTAGGCATTGGATTATTTTTATCGGTGTATGTTTATGTTGTAGAGATTGGGCTGTGAAGATGAGAAGTCTGTGCAGTTGTGGTGATTATGGTGAAGGCAATTGGTGTGGGCAAATGGATATGTGTTCTGTTGGTATATTCTGCAGTAAATGAAAAGGTTGTCATGATGCTTTCTTGAAAGTTTGTTTTGGACAAGGGCAAATTTCAACTCATATATTGGTGTGGCAACATGGACAATGAGGCAGTAGTAGTCGTTGTCTCTATTGCTCGTACAACCAGTGATATGCAGCCATGGCAGGGTTGATTAGTTCCTGACTGTTAAATGAAATGTGTATATTTGAGCCTATAATTTATTTCTTAGAGACAGAGAGAAATTTACCCACATTATGCACTACCACTTGTTCATTATAAATAAGCAAACACTCATCTTTTTTTTTCGAAAATGAGACCCATCATTTGCTTTTAAAAAATGGAGAGCTCTCTGACATGGGCTTCTCGTTTTATTCTTTGAAGAATTAAGTGTTTTACCAAATGCAGGTTAAATAACATTTTGATTTATATCTTCTTTTATCTTCCCAGATTTTCGGTTGATTTTATGGCAAAAATTCACTTTTTTTTTTTTTTGGTTTTGTTTTAAGTAGATTACAATGATGTTGGTTCAGTTGGAAGAAATTTTTCTACTTCATTAGGTGCCCAAGTACCGTATATCAATTCCATTTTTAGTAGAAATATTGGAACTGCTAGCAAAAGCCACATTGCCTTTACTTCAGTGGTTAATTTTCTTATCTGTTTACTGAACATTGATGTTTGCTTTCATGTTTCTCGATTGCTACCATCGAATTTTATTGTGAAATTGGGAGAAGAATTCTAACTGTTCAATTTTCTTTATTGCCTGGATTGGAAGACAGAATTTTCTTCCAAGGATCTAATTCAATTTCAAATGAAAGTTCTTCAATTGTTTTCCTAAGGCCTAGAGTTAAAACAAAATAATAAATTAAGCAGATAGACCCTATACTTAGTGTTGGGTTTTTTGCTACCCAATAAATTTCAGGCTATGATGTTAACATGGGATTATATATTTTATAGGCCTAGAACGATGAATGAAATAAGTCCAACAACCAAATCCATGAGCTCCACCCAATCCAATTGTATTTCCTCTTGGATGACTTGAATCTTAACCCATTTACCTTCCTTTTGGTCCAATTAAAAACCTAACCCTAGACTATTTATAATATTACAACCCTAGCTATTGTCTAGTGTGTGATTTGTGTGAAAGTAAGGAGATTTTTGGCTGCCCTCTTTGTTGTGTGAAAAATGACCCCTTTTGAAGTGTCAAAACAGTTGATGACTTTGTGTAACTTGTGGTTCCTTCATAACCTACCTTTGTGATGTTTTCTCCTTAGCTTTGTGGCTACAAATCATCACGATTTCTTGTCCTTTGTGAGTAAGATTAAATAGCAACCGATGTGAATTATATTGATTGTAGATTGGAGCCAGTTGTTTGGTTGTTTGGTAGAGAAAGATACGTTGGACTGAGCTCGAAAAACACCGATTTGAAGTTCCTTGGAGCAACATTTAGTATCAGATCTTCAATGTGGTGGTTTTGGCTCATGAAACATACCAAAATAAGGTCCAGAAAGTTGGCTGAAACGAAGCAAAAGTCGAATCGAAAAACTGTGCAGAAAACTGTCAAAAATCAATCCCTATTTTCATGTTTTGTTATCAGTCCAGAAAGAGTTTGAGAAAATAGAGACCACTGGTATGACGTGTTGGTGGAGACGGTCCTGACGATCAGGCATGTGTGGCTGGTGGCAGTGCGTGAAGCCCACGCACAAAGAGGAAAGGCAATGTTTAAAGACGTGTGTGACCTTTTCCGACTGAGGTCTCTTCAGGCAATTTGTTCCTAACAATATTTCTGACATTTTAGTGTTGTTAATTTTCTATTTCAGGTTGTGCAGTAGAATCTGGACAGAGTTATTTTTCGAACGTTCAAGACTTGATTGTGATTTGCTGGTTGTTGCAGTTTCTAGAGGCTTTTGGACGAATAATGGTGGTCTTAAAGTGATAAATTCATGTCTTTCATAATTTACGGATTCAGATTGGTCCGCTCTAGTATATTGGCTTATCCCAATTTAAATTTTAGCATTAGCGCATTATCGTGTGGGGGGTAACATTAGGTTTGTGGTTACCATGAAGGGGTAACATTGCTTTGGTTAGAAATTTAGGAATTATTTGCTCTGTTTGAAGCGTTGGATTTAATTGCAAGTTAATAACTACTTCTATGTTTAATTTACTGCATTGTGTGAGAATTTGAATATTTGTTAACATACTTTCGTGTTTACATTGATTATCCTATTAGAACACTAGGACTTGACTTGTTCGAACATTTCCTTGATCTAAGATCGTGAATCTTACGAAACTCTGAAAATCTAGAACGGTGTTTATTGCGGCTTTAGGATTACTTTGTGTTACCCATCTATGTATTTGGTTATTCTATTTTCTTAAAATGCCTTTACACTTTGAAATTGAAATTTTTAATGGGAAATGAGATTTTTCAATTTGGTAGCAAAAAATGAAGGGAATTTTGGTCCAACAAAAAGTTTCAAAAGTTATAGATGACAAATTTCCTGCTAAATTGACAGAAGCACAAAAAAAAGAGTATGATGAACTTACTTATATTTCAATCATATTACTGATACTGTTTTGAGAAAATTTGGAAAACTCAATTCTACCAATGAACTTTGGGAAAAATTGGAGGACTTATATTTGCTTAAATCCACTTCTAATAAATTGTACTTGCTTGAACAATTTTTTAACTTTAAAATGGATCATTCAAAGAATCTTAACGACAATCTAGATGTCTTTAAAAAATTAGTTCAAGACATTGTTAGTTGTTATGAAAATGTCTCTGAAACATATAAGACTATTATCTTGCTTAATTTCATGCCTGATTCATATAGAGAGGTTAAGAATGCAATTAAGTATGGTACGACACCTTAACACCCGAGATTGTCATAAACTCACTTAGGAGTAAGGAGATAGAGATTAAAACTGAAAAAGAGGATAAGATGAGTGGTGAGTTACATATGATGAGGAGTAGGATAAAGTTTAAATAAATCAATTTGGGTAGAACTCAAGATGGTAGTGATTGGAGTAGTGACTCGAGTGATGAGGGTAGTAAGAAGAAGGACAAGGGATGAGACAAATCTAGTAGTAGACGGTGTTATAGTTGTAGTAAGTATGGACACTTTATTAGAGACTGTCCTAAGAAGAAGAATTAGCAAAGAGTAAGATGAGAGGTGAGGCGAATTTGGCTTTAGGGTCGAGTGATGACCTTAGTAAGTTTTATAGAGAGTAAACCTAGCTACTGCATGTGCATCTGTGTGTGATCATTCCTAAATGTGTGTGATTGCCTAATTCTTGTTGCATGATTATATACTACATTTCAATATATTTGATATGTGCATTTGCATGAATTTGAGACAATATGATTAGTTGGTGTAGTTATTTGCATGCATAGTGGGTTAGGATGCATCTGCAGTGTGGGTATGCCTTTTGGTGAGGTGGAGTATAGATGCCTAGGGGTATTTTGTGATTTATACCGGGGATGTGGAGTGTGACATTTAGATCATGAGTGGAGATGTGATTATATGTCTGAAATCCTTTATTTGTGAAGAGACCTTGATCAAGCGGAGTGTGAGAGAGACACTTCTATCACTTCTGTTAGGTGGAGACTCATTATCCACGTAGGTTGGGAGAAGTGATGTGATGATAGAGGATTATCCCAATAACTTAGGATCTATTGTGACTTACCAGTTAGACATGAGTTAAGTGATCAATCTAGTGAGCATGGTAGCCGATGAGATGAGATATGTTCTCGAGGTGTGAACAACACAGAATGAGATAGGATAAGCGTGTTGAGATCTTTTAGCTGGTCATTTATGCATTTGTTGCATATGTAGTTGACCGTGTGTTTGATCAACTTGGTGTTAGTCTTTGGTTTTGTGTAAACGTATTTCTGAAAAGATCTATGTGTGTTATCCTATAATATATTGTCATCGCATATGTATTTGCTCTCGATTGTTTACTACTGAATATTTGTTTCTACTTAGGTGTTATTGACCTTAGCCCTAATGAGTACATGGAGCAGGTATGATATGTGTTTCAAGTTGGAAACACGAGGTAAGGTCTGTAATCCAATTTTATTGACCACCTTGATTATGCAAGTGCTAGTTGTGTATTTTTGATTGATTGCAAATTTATTGGCAATCAAGGTGGAGATTTGTTGAGTTTTTTGTTATCCAATAAATCCCGGGCTATGATGTTAACATGAGATTATATATTTCATAAGCCTAGGCCAATGAATGGAATAAGTCCAACAATCAAGTCCATGAGCTCCACCCGGCCCAATTGTATTCTCTCTTGGATGGCTTGAATCTAGGCCCATTTACCTTCCTTTTGGTCCAATTAAAAGCTTAACCCTAGACTATTTATAAGATTACAACCCTAGCTATTTTCTAGTGTGTGATTTGTGTGAAAATAAGGAGATTTTCGGCTGCCCCCTTTGGTGTGTGAAAAACGGCCCCTTTGAAGTGCCAAAACGGTTAATTACTTTGTGTAACTTGTGGTTCATTCATAGCCTACCTTTATAGCATTTTCTCCTTGCCTTGATGGCTACAAATCATCACCATTTTTTGTCTTAAGATTGAATTGCAACCAAGGTGAATTATATTGGTTGTGGATTGGAGGCGGTTGGTTTGGTTGTTTGGTGGAGAAATGTACGTTGGACTAAGCTCGAAAAACACCGATTTGAAGATCCTTGGAGTAAGCTTCCGCAACATTTAGTAGTTACTAATTTGATTCTCACTTACTTAAAAGTGATCCTTGTTCCAGGTTGCAATAATCTAGGTTTTGAATCTTGGTGTATAGAATATTGACTTAATACCTCAATATGGAATGTCATCCAAAATAAAATTTTAATCTGAAGATGTGAAGCCAACATATTTTAAAGACCATGTTACGTCATTGAAGGCGATGATTGATAATAGCATGTCTTCATATATTTTTGTATAGAGCTTAAAGCTCCTAATGCATAAAGATGGGTTATCATAGGCCACTATGGATAATATTGGAGTAAAATAGTATTGGATATT